AAAGGAAAAAAAAAAAAATGTTGGGGGGGGGGGGGAGGCGGTGCACGTGCGAAGGGAAAGGGCAGTCGCGCACGGGGTGGGTGGGTTGTGGTCGTGGTTGTGGTTGTGGTTGTGGTTGTGGTTGTGTGTGTGCGCGCGTGGTAATGGTGAGGGTGTGTGGGGGGATGGGGTGTGTGGGGGAGGCACCTCCGCATTGAACTCAAACTCGCGCACGGTGAAGCGCTTCTCGCGGCAGGAGGTCTTGAACTGGTCGAGGCACTTTTTGAAGAGCGTGACTCCGAACAGGACGTACTCTGAGTCCTCGGAGATCGCCTTTGCGGAGAGAGGGACGACGTAGTCGGCCAGCCGCTCGTACTCGAGGAGAAACTCCTTCATACTCGACTTTTGGATGACCACCATCACCGTCGTCATGTACTCGGAGTCGAGGATGTCGTCCTCCTGCACAATGTCGCCCAGCCCGCGCACCATCAGGTTGCCCTGCCCTCGCCGCTCAAAGGCCTGGAGGGAGCCCTTGAGGGCGTTGAGCTCCGCAACCTTGGCTTTGAGCTCCTCCTCCAGCCCACCGATCTTGCCAGAGATCATCTCGGCGAGCTCGCGCAGCGGAGTCTTGAGCTGAAACTTTGCCTCGTCCCAGTCCCACTGCTTGGTCGCGTAGGTCATGACGTCAGTCCCCATGACGGAGGGTGCGATTCCGCCCTTTAGGTCTTCGTGCTGCCGGAAGAGCTTGAAGCAGGTGCCCTCTGCGAGGGCGTCCATCTTTGAGATGTCGTCGCTCAAGCTCATGAGCGAGTCCAGCGTCCCCACCCGCAGCGCGTCCGCTGGCACCGGGAAGTCGTTCACCTCTGCGAGTCCCGCGAGCTTGTTGACGAGGAACTCGCGCGACTTGTCCGCCTTGAAGGCAATCGCGACCAGGTCCTTTTCATCCGCCATTCGGCGTCAGGCCTGTGGTGACGCGCCGCGCGTTTGGAGTGGGGCCGCGGGATGGCGCGGCGGCGCGGGAGCTAGTCGCGCGAGCCGCAGGCTCCGCCAGCCGTGTGAGGGGTGCGTGCAGTGAGCCGGGGCGCGCGACGCGGCGAAGTGAGACCTGCGGATGGAGGGTACCTGCGCGCAAGGAGACGTCTGCTGAGAGCAGGAGAAGGATGAGGCGCGGGTGATCCCGAGGGCTGGCGGTGGCGGCGACGGCAGTGGGAAAGGCGGGCGGCAGATGCAAAGGCCGGGGAGCGTTTGCGCAAAAGTCGGCGGCGTTGTCCGTCCCCGCTGCGCCGCTCAACGCCGAGCGTCGATCGGGCGACATGGGGCGGTGGGGCAGTGGGGTGGCAGGACAGTGGGGGAGGCGTGCAGTGGCTGCATGGAGCCCTCAGTGACTGTGGCGAAGCGCGGGCCTTGAGACACAGCTTTCCTCCTCGAGTTGGCCTGTGTTCACAGCCTTCTCGAGGTTCTCGAGGTGATCTGTGATCTGTGAGGGTCCGCCCGCAGGCGCATTTTGTATACCGAGGCGGTGCCCGGTGCCGAACCTGTCGGACCTTAAGACAGCGTTGTAGATCCCTGGGCGAGGGTGGTGGAGAGGGCGGTCCGGCGGCGGAGCACCCACCTCCTCCCGGCGTGCCGGTAGGCAGGATGTCATCCCCCGTGATCCAGACTGCCCATGGGGCTGACTGTCAGCGCTAAACCGTAACCCGCCGGGGGGCGGGCCGGATCCACGCGTTCCCAGACAGCCCCATTGGAGGTAGGCCGCTCGTCTAGCCAATCAGCCTTAAGCGAGCGGCCTGGCCGTTGGAATGGCCGAGAGTGTCGGCCGGCCGTTCGGTCTCTTCCCCGGGGGGGGCCTCAATGACCTAGTTGCCCGGCCGAGGAGGGGAGGACGACTGTCTCTGACGGCGAACCTCAGTTACGAGCCGCCCTCCCCTCGAGAGACGAGACGCGAGGCCAGTGCACTTGGGGCCGAGCCCCAGCGTACACCGTCCCACGCGCCTCACGCGGCCTCTGGCTGGAGCGGGATCGCAAGCGAGTCCCCCAGGCCGGCGCGCGTCTTCCGAGAGAGGAGCAGGAGCGAGGGACATTCTTAGTAAGCCGGCATGCAGATGCATGCACGGCCGTTCAGAAATTTTCCCAGCCGTTGGAATGGCTGCGCTCCCGCCCCTCACGCCGGGTGGACAAGCGGGGGGGAGGTCAATGACCTGCCTAGTCGCCCGACATGCCAGGCATGCCGACCTTTCGGAGCCCCCCCTCGTAGACGTGTGCCGCTGGGATCATTCCAGTACGCCCGAGGGCGACGGTCCCCCGGTAGTAGACGTTGGCGCCGAAGAGGGAGGAGTCGCCGAAGGTCGGGTAGTCGTTGGTCATGCGGGGGGAGGAGGAGTCGGCGAGCAGCAGGGAGGAGAAATGCCTGAGAGGGTGGGGAGGGAGGCGTGAGGCGCGAGGTGAGGGGGCGCGGGGCGCGGGGCGTGCGTGGGACGCGCGGCGTGAGGCGCAGGGCGTGAGGCGGGAGGCGCGGGGCGCTCGAGGTTGGGGCAGGGTGTGTTGTGTGTGTGTATGTGTGTGTGTATGTGTGTGTATGTGTATGTGTGTGTTTGTTTGTGCGAGGGCAGGGCAGGGCAGGGCAGGGCGGCGGCGAGCGGCGAGCGGCGTCGGCGAGATCGGCGACGAAGAGAGGCGATGGTGACGTACACGGCGGCAGTGTTCACGGCAGCAGCGCCGGTGGCGGCCCCGCGCAGCGGCGGCGGCGCCCTGAGTGAGGCAGACTGCCCTGCACAGCCTGCTGGGAACGCTCCCGACGAGCGGCGAGCCATGCGGGCCCGCCGCGGGCGACGCGGGCGGCGAGCCGACACGCGTGTCACAGGCGTAGACAGCACTGGCGCCAAGGGGGGAGGAGTCGCCGAAGGACGGGTAGTCGTTGGTCATGCGGGGGGAGGAGGAGTCGGCGAGCAGCAGGGAGGAGAAATGCCTGAGAGGGTGGGGAGGGAGGCGTGAGGCGCGAGGTGAGGGGGCGCGGGGCGCGGGGCGTGCGTGGGACGCGAGGCGTGAGGCGCAGGGCGTTGGGCGGGAGGGCGCAGGGCGCTCGAGGTTGGGGCAGGGTGTGTTGTGTGTGTGTATGTGTGTGTGTATGTGTGTGTGTGTGTGGGTGTGTGTTTGTTTGTTTGTGCGAGGGCAGGGCAGGGCAGGGCAGGGCGGCGGCGAGCGGCGAGCGGCGTCGGCGAGATCGGCGACGAAGAGAGGCGATGGTGACGTACACGGCGGCAGTGTTCACGGCAGCAGCGCCGGTGGCGGCCCCGCGCAGCGGCGGCGGCGCCCTGAGTGAGGCAGACTGCCCTGCACAGCCTGCTGGGAACGCTCCCGACGAGCGGCGCGCCATGCGGGCCCGCCGCGGGCGACGCGGGCGGCGAGCCGACATGCGTGTCGCAGGCGTAGACAGCACTGGCGAGGCGAGGCGGCCGGCGCCGGCCCCGGAGGCGGCTGCAGTAAGAGCAGCGAGGCAGAAGTCACTGTCCAAGGCGTACTGAGCAGGCTGCCATCGAGCAGCGCGCCATGCGGGCCTGCCGCCGGCGACGAGATTGGTCTCGAGGTGGATATCCTTTGGCCGCGTTGGGTAGCGAGGATTGGTGTGACGCGCTCCACGCAGGCGTGGTTTCTGACGGCCGACCGTCAGTGCACGGAGTTGCCCCTTCTCCGACTGCCCCGGCTAGTTCACGAGTTTCGCGGGAGTGACCCCATGCGTCAATCAAACCCGACAAACAAACCCGAGACCTAGCGCGGGTGGGTTGGAGGGGGCTCGCCCCGTTCCTCCCCATCGGGCCGCATAAGCGGCCACGCCTCGCAGATTCGTTTCTCGCGCCTGGGTCAGGCGCGCGGGGCATCCCCCGGGTCGCTCGACCAGCGCACAGCGCCATCCATGTAGGACGTACACGTAGATCTATTTTCTTCTCAATAACAAGGCTGTGAACGCCGCCGTCTGTGGCGACGCGCAAAACATCAACAACGCTGCTCGCAACATGCGTGTCGCGCACTCATTCATGACCGGCCTCAATGTCCCACCCCCCCTGCGCGAGCCGCGAGGGCCTTCTATCTAGGCCCGCGGGTAGTCTCACCCCATCACCAGGGCCTCCAGGGCTCGCACCTCAACCTCTCACAGACCAGCGCACAGCGCCATACGATGTATTTTCTTCTCAATAACAAGGCTGTGAAAAAAGAGGTTCTGTGATCGGCTTTGGGTCCGCCCGCGCAGGCGCATTTTGTATACCGAGGCGGTGCCCGGTGCCGAGCGCAGGCAGAGCCCACAGGTCGGACCTTAAGACAGCATTGTAGATCCCTGGGCGAGGGTGATGGGGTCCCCGTCGGGCGGGTCAGGGCTGAAGGCCCCGTTTTTGCCCATTTTCGGTCATCCGTCAAAATATCTGAAGATCCCAACATAGGATTCTCCCCAAACCTTGCTCAGCTGATCCAGCATGGGTCGTAGGCCAGGCCTGGGCAAAGAAACCAGCACCTCATCAGGCTTCCCTGAGCGTCACAGCTCGGTGATCGCGCCGGCCGGACACCACTGAGACGGCCGTTCCGGGCGTTTGAACGCGACCTTTGGGGGCAAAGACATGGGCTCTATGGCTCAGACTGGACTCCTCTTGGTCCCTTCTGATGCCCTAGGCCACACCTGGGCCTTACCCGGGGTTCTAGGGGGCGGGCAGGGTTTGCCCCCCCCAACTGGCCCGGAGGGACCTTAAGGAGGCTGCTCTCGCGCGTCTCAGGGATGTGGCTGTGTCTTTTGAATCAGGCGCCACCCGTTCGACTCTTGCTGTCGCCCTTGGCCGTGTGTCTTCTTTTTTACTCTCTCTTCTTGTCTTCTTCCGTGTGTTTGTCAAGCTTCCGCATGAAGTAATGCGCCTCTTCCTTGTTTCCAGCGCAGCTGCCGCTCAGTCAGTAGGTGCGCCAACGACGCCTGTGGTGTGCAGCAAGCACTTGGAGCACTTGGAGTGCAGTCATCAACCTCACATCCAGGGCCGGGGAGCTAAGAAGCGCACCCAGCGGGCCAGATGATCGGCATCGGGTTGCGGGCTAGAGAGCACCCCCCAGGGCTAGGGCTAGTGTTGATGGTTCGATCCTCCCCAGAGTCGAACTGGCAGCCACTCGCACCAAGGAGGCGAGGTGGCTACGTGACCCAGAAAAGGCCAGAATCCCGACACCCGAGCAACCTCGGGCTGAAAGAAAGAAAGAAAAAAGACAACCCAATGGAGGGATGGGAGGACGGCACGCCGCCACCACACAGGGAACCTCGGGCTGGTTTTGCTCTGTGTGCAACAAATAAAATTCTCTCTCGACCACAGCGCGCGGGGGCGGAGCTCGGCCTCATGCACGCCGTGCTGCGGCAGCCCGCTTGAGGGCGGCAGTCTGAGGCGAGGCGAGGAGGCGAGGCGAGGGACGGGGCAGCAGCGGGGCACGCAGCGGGGCCGAGGGACGGGGCAGCAGCGGGGCGTGCAGCCGGCCTGCAGCGGCATGCAGCGGGACCTGGCAGTGGGGGAAACGACGGGGGGGAGGTTGACGGCGCGCGAGGAGCGTGCCCAGGTCGCAGCCGACGCGCAGAACGAGCGGCGAGTTCGCATGTGGTACGTTTTGCGTATGCATGCACGTTTTGGGTGGAGTACCGGCGGAGGGAGCAGGATAGTTTGAATGCTGTACTTCGCGGATTGTTTTGAGCGAACTAAAGCCGACACAGCGGGAATTCCTCACGCGCAAAAGATTTTCTCTCGCACGACACTGTGTGGCGGCGGCGTGCCGCCCCCACTGAGTTGGCGCACTTGGAGTTTTGGAGCACTTAGCTTAGCGGACCTCGAGAACCCCCCACCCGCCGTTGCAACTGCCATGTCACGGCCGGTCGGCTGCAGCTCTCGCCTCGCTGGCGGCGCGGTCTGGTGCCGCGGCGCCCAGCTCTCCTGTGGGCTCGCGGCGGCTCGCCGCCGCGGTGCCGAACAATGTGATCAGTCTGGATTCGTCCCGGAGTGCCGCCGGTGCCGCTTCCTCGCCAATTTTTGGCTCGACCAGTTTGTCGACAAAACTGTGCCAGAGCCCCTGCTGCTCGACTACGCGGCGGAACCGGCCCATCGCGGCTGAGACGTGATGCGCCGGCACCGGGGCAACGGCGCGGGACCATTCCAGGCTCTCTCGAGCAACCTCAAATTTGGCCGATTTTGTGGATCTCAACCCTGCTGCTCTCTGACCACAACCTCGCGGCCCGCTGCGCGGCTCTCCGAGCGCGAGAGGAGTCGTCTACGAGGCGGCGGCGAGCGCAGGCGGCGGCAGCGCGGCGGCGCGGCGGCGGATCGCGGCGCAGACAACGGCAGCAATCTGGCTGCTGCTTGCTGCTGCAGCAGCTGCTGCTGCGGCTGCTGCTCCGCTGCCGCTGATTGTGGACACGATTCCCCCGATAACCCTGCCCGCCCACTCCGCCCCGCCCGCCCGCCGCTCCCCGCTTGCTTGCCCGCCCGCCCGCCCGCCCGCCCGCCCGCCCGCCCGACCGACCACCCATTCCCATCACCATCTCACATACCTTCATATAGGCGCTCGAGACCTCCTCTCGCTGCCTACTCGCTGCCTCGAGGGAGGAGGGGAAGACGTAGGGTTGAGCTGGACTCGCCTTTCCTGAGGCCCCTCCCCGAAAGGGCAAGTCTTAGCCACATGAAACCCGAGACCCCTCCCCACCACCCCGATCCCCCCACCCCCTTGCTCCCCTCCCCCCCCTCGGGAGGGCCGAACTGAGGCGCCCGAGGGGACCCCGCAATTCCCTTCCCCCCTCGGAGGGCCGGACTGAGGCGTCGAGGGCCCCACTCTTTCCTTCGCATAGCGGCCACTCTTCGGATCGCTGGTCGAGCGACCCGGGGGATGCCCCGCGCGCCTGACCCAGGCGCGGAAACGAATCTGCGAGGCGTGGCCGCTCATGCGGCCCGATGGGGAGGAGGGGAAGACGTAGGGCGTGCTTGCGCGCCTTTCCGAGGCCCCTCCAACCCACCCGCGCTAGGTCTCGGGGGACGAAGGGGTCACACCCGACGACCTCGGGAACTAGCCGGGGCAGTCGGAGAAGGGGCAACTCCGTGCACTGACGGTCGGCCGTCAGAAAACACGCCTCCGTGGCTCGGGTTACACCAATCCTCGCTACCCAACGCGGCCAAAGGATATCCACCTCGAGAACCTCGAGAGAGAGAGCACTTCGCGTATGTTTTCTTCTCTTCTTCCCCTCTACCAGGTAGACAGCACAACGTGCCGCGAAGTCGATGCTGCTGCGGAACTTGGGTCGATGCTCGCACATTGTGCGAGCTCGTTTGCCGCTGCGCCGCTCGTGCAGTGGCGTGCTTCGTCGTCTTTCAACCACGAGCGAGGCCAAGGACGCTGCCACCGAGAGCACCGAAGGCACACCGCCGCCGCCACCTGCGGAGGCCATCCTCGGTGCGACTGAGACCAAGGAGTTTCAGGCAGAGACGAAGAAGCTTCTCGACATCGTGGCCAACTCTCTCTACACAGACAAGGAGGTCTTCCTTCGCGAGATTGTCTCGAATGTGAATCCGGCTCTCGCGCGCAGCGCAGCGTGGCGCGCACCCACTTCAAGCGTCCGCCACTCGTCAAGTAGGCGTCGGACGCACTGGAGAAGCGGCGGTACGCCGAGGTGACGGGATCAGCCGAGGAGGGCGCTGGTGAGATGGCCATCTCGATCACCACTGACAGCGAGGCTGGGACGCTCACCATCACCGACTCGGGCATCGGGATGTCGCGGGACGACCTCGTTGCGAACCTGGGCACAGCCGACTAGATGCCACAGTGTGGGGGCGCTCTCCTTCCGATCACGTGGCGCGGCGTCCAGTACCCTGCTCCCCATGTTGTGCCCACCGCCGCACACGCGCGCACGCACACACGCACACACCGCCCCGCCCCCGCCCCCCGCGCCGTTGCGCGCTTGAAATGACTGGTGCCTTTGCCGCGGTTGAGTCAAGAGGGAGAGGAGGCTGGGAGCGCACGCATGCGCCGCATCGCAGCACCGTCTGCCGCCAGCGCCAGCGCCCGCCTCGCGCACCCGCAGGCACAATCGCCTCGTCTGGCTCCAAGCGGTTCGTGCAGCAGCTGGCCGACACGGCCGGCGACGGCGCCTCCGCCGCGTCGGCCAACGTCATCGGCCAGTTCGGCGTCGGCTTCTACTCTGTCTTCATGGTTGCGGACCACGTCACCGTCTACTCAAGGCAGCATGGCGCGGAGGCGGGCCACTGCTGGCGGTCGAGCGGCGACGGCGCCTACGAGCTTTCCGAGGCGTCGAACGTGGCAGGTAGACTTGTTCGGTGGGGGGGGGCGGGGGAGCCAAGATTCCGTGGGGAGGGTGGCCCGTATTCAGGGGACCGGCTGGGTTCGGGTAGTGGTGAGGGACCGGGGATGGCGTTGGGGTGGGTTATCTCGGCTATATCTCGGCGATATCTCGGCGATATCTCGGCGATATCTCGACCATAGCGGGCACCAAGATTGTACTGACGCTCAAGGAGGAAGAGAAGCGGTTCGCGTCGCGGTGGGCAGTCGAGGCCAACCTGCGCAAGTACTCGTCCTTTGTCGGCTTTCCCGTGAGCGTCGACGGCGAGCGGGCAAACACCATCGAGGCGCTGTGGACGAAGGCCAAGAGCGAGGCCATCTCGCCGCCGCGCCATGCCGAGTGCCGCCTGGGGTGCGTCTCTGCACCTCGGCCGAGCCTCGGGTTAGGTGAGCGACGAGGAGCACGCCGAGTTCTTCCGCTTCATCGCGCAGGACTTTTCCGACCCGCGCTACACGCTGCACTTTGCGGCCGACGCGCCGCTCGCCATTAAGGCGCTCGAGATCTAGCCGAGACACAGCCGGGACACCGCCGAGATCTAGCCGAGATCTAGCCGAGATCTAGCCGAGATCTAGCCGAGATCTAGCCGAGACACAGCCGGGACACGGCCGAGAGGGCACACTTTTCCGTCGAGCTAGCAGCTTCTCGCCGATCTGCGCGAGCTCGAGATTGATCCGAGATGACCCGAGACTGTTCGAGAGTCTCAGGCGCTCTTCTACATCCCCGAGTCCCACCCTGAGAAGTGGGGCATGGCGCGGATGGAGCCGGGCGTGTCGCTCTACTCGCGGCGCGTGCTCATCCAGCCGCGTTCCGACAAGCTGCTGCCCGATTGGATGCGCTTCGTGAAGGGGGTGCCGGCCCCAAGAAGCGGAAGACGGACTCTTGTCTTCCAGCCAGCGCTCGAGAGGACACGGACTCCGCTGTGCTCGACCGTACCTGACTTCGCTGCATTCGTAGCCCGCGTATCCACACGAGCTCTACACGAGCCCTGAATCCTCTGCGCGACACCGTCCTCCCGCCCCGAGGCTGGCGTATTCACACAAAAACACAACCCCGCACCCAAGACGCACAAGCAAGCACAGACAGTCGAGAAGGGAGAGACAGCAACGACAGTCAGAAGCCAGCGCTGGGTACCAGGCTGGCGTATTCACACTGCAGGTGGTCGACTCGGAGGATGCCCTATTCACACTGCAGCCTATTCACACTGCAGCCTATTCACACTGCAGGTGGTCGACTCGGAGGATGTGCCCCTCAACATCTCCCGCGAGAGCATGCAGGACTCCGCGCTGATGCGCAAGCTCTCCTCGGTCCTCTCGCGCCGCGTGCTCAAGTTCTTGCAGGAGCGGGGAGATGTGGGCCGAGATACGGGGAGATCTGGGGAGACATGTCCCCTCGCGCCGCGTGCTATATCGCGCCCGGCAGACAGCTCCCGCGCCGGCCAGCTATCTCCCCACATCTCCCCACATCTCCCCACATCTCCCCACATCTCCCCACATCTCCCCACATCTCCCCACATCTCCCCACATCTCCCCACATCTCCCCACACCCCACTCCCCCCGCCGCTCCCTCGCCACCGCTTCCCTTGCCACTCACTGCCAGGAGCGCGCCAAGAAGGACGAGGAAGGGTACCTCGCCTTTTTCCGCGAGTTTGGGCAGTTTATCAAGGAGGGCGTGTGCGCCGACTTTGAGCTCAAGAGCGAGGCCGCCAAGCTGCTGCGATTCGAGTCCACCGCCGCAGAGCCGGACACACTTGTCTCGCTGGACGAGTACATCGCGCGTATGGTCCCGGAGCAGGAGGACACGATCTACTACCTCGTCGCGCCTTCGCGCGCGTCGGCGCTCTCATCGGCCTACATGGAGGCCTTCACCAAGAAGAAGGCGGGGCGGGGCGCTGCTGGGGGGGGGGGGGGGGGATTCCCCTGCGCCGCGTCTCATCACGCAGCCTGCCCTGCGTAGGTGGAGGCGCTGCTGCTCACCTCGACCATGTCCGCGACACTACCATGACATGTCCGAGACATGTCCCGTAGGTGGAGGTGCTGCTGCTCACCTCGACCATCGACGAGTTTGCGATGGCCAACCTCATGTCCTACGCGGGCAAGGAGCTCGTCTCGGCGGAGAAGGCGAAGCTGCAGGTGGAGCCCGACGCGGAGACGCCAGCCATCTCGGCCGAAGACGCCGGCGCGCTCTGCACGTGGCTTGCAGAGGCGCCGCCTGGGTGGTGCTGTGCGCGGTGGGGTGCGCGTGCCAAGGGTGCGCATGCCTCGCCACCTGTAGGCGGTGCCCCTCGTCTCTGAGGCGAGCCTCTCGTCCCGTCTGGTCGACTCGCCCGCGATCGTCGTCGGGCACGAGTCCCTAGAAGCTGAACACGTTTCTTGTACTCCTACTCGCGCTCGAGAGAACACGTCGCTGATTCGACCGCTTTCGGCTCCCCCTGTATCCACTGGATTCGCACCCCTCGTATTCACGCGGTGCTCTGAACTCATGTTGGCGTATTCACCCTGTAGGCACGAGTCGGCGGCGATGCGTCGGATGATGGGGATGGTCGAGGCGGGCCGCGCACCGGAGCTCTCACCGCAGAGGCTCGAGATCAACGGCCGCCACCCCATCATCCTCGGTCTGGCTGCGGCTCGATCCGAGCGGCCCGAGCTGGCCAAGCAGATCGCGCAGCAGGTCTTCGACAACGCGCTCATTTCTGCGGGGCTGCTCGACGACCCGCGCGCGATCGTCGGCAACATCAACTCGATCATGGCCGAGTTGCTGAGCCGTCCCACGACTCAGCCCGAGTCGTCCTCTTGAGAACCCCCTCACCCCAGGCCCCGGCCCGGCACCATCTTTCCGGCTCGTCTGCTGGGGCGGGCTGCGCGCCCCCCTTCATCAGCGATGCGTCTCAGCACAGTTTGGCGTCTGGCTCTCAACGTATAGGGGTTGGCTAGTAGCCTCGCACACACGAATCACGATTCACATACGCGTTCCTAGTACGTCCGGGACGGTCCCCCCGGCGCCCCAGTGAGCGGTGTTAACACACCTACCGGCCCCACAAAATACTTCGTACGTCCCCTCACCTGGTCGCCCCTGCGCGTGTGATCTCCGCGATCGAAGTCCTGCTCCTTGCTGGAGGAGGCCGTAGAGCTGTTTAACATTAACTTGTTGGGCCTAACAGTTGCGCTAGTGTTGGCTGAAATCCTTAACGTTGTTCAAGTGTTCACCCCAGCCCATGCTGTTAATGTTTGTACTGTTGTTACTGTTGTTCAGCGGTCAACAAGCAGAAAATGCCCAAAAACCCGGGTAAAACCCGAAAATGCCTGGGTTTTCCCGGGTAAACCCCGAAAATACCTGGCTCCTGGGGTTTTCCGGGTATTTTCGGGTATTACCCGCACTGGACGCTGGAGATCGTCGTGGGTCACTGCCAGGCCTTCCTTGTTGTTGTTCAGCCGGTCTAACGTTAGCTACTGTTGTTGGGGAGCCCCACGGTCGTTCTATTTTGTTAAAAGGTTCTTCGGGCCCCTTTAGGGGGGCAAACCCTGCCCGGCCCCTAGAGCCCCAGGTAAGGCCCAGGTGTGGCCTAGGGCATCAGAAGGGACCAAGAGGAGTCCAGTCTGAGCCATAGAGCCCATGTCTTTGCCCCCGAAGGTCGCGTTCAAATGCCCGGAACGGACGTTACAGTGGTGTCCGGCCGGCGCGATCACCGAGCTGTGACGCTCAGGGAAGCCTGATGAGGTACTGGTTTCTTTGCCCAGGCCTGGCCTACGACCCATGCTGGATCAGCTGAGCAAGGTTTGGGGAGAATCCCCCGGTCAGATCTTCAGATATTTTGACGGATGACCGAAAATGGGCAAAAACGGGGCAAAATCGACAAGTTAAACATGGAAGCAAATTGCGTGACACTGGCCAGGGGGGGGGGGGCGGCAGGGGGAGGCTCCTGATTGTAGATTGAGCAACCTGAAGAGCCATCCTGGACTTGGCTAGGGGGCCCGGTAGGGAAGGCGGCGGTAGCGGAGTGGGGGGGCGAGGGAGGGGGCAGTGGGGGAGGAGGAGGCGGGGGGGGAGGCGGTGAGGGAGGAGACGGCGGAGGAGGGGCCGGTAGAGGAAGGGGTGGCGAGGGAGGTGACGGGGGAGGCGGCGGCCAGGGAGAAGGAGAAGGAGGTAAGAGGAGGGACGGCAAAGGAGGCGGCGGCGGCAAAAGGGGGGGGGGCAAGGGAAGGGGCCGCATGGGAAGCGGCCAGGGGGTAGTTGGCAAGGAAGGGAAAGGACGGCACAGGGGGAGGCGGTTTGGGGGGGGGGGGGGGGGGGGAGGAAGGAGGCTCCTGGAACCCAGGGGAAGGAGGCTGCTGGAACCCAGGGGAAGGAGGCGGCGAGGGGCAAGGTGGCGGGGGAAGGGGCAGCGGAGGAGGAGGCGGGGGCGGAGGGTAAAACCCGCAAATACCAAGCGCAGAGAATTCTTTCCGTGCCCAGTGTTGTGCGGATCCCTGCAGATCCCGTGTCCGGTGGACAGTTTGGGCGGGGCCAGGGGCGGTTCGCCGGACATTACCAGGCTTTCTTTTTCAGCGACTGTTCAAAAATAAAAGCACACTGACCCGACTGTTCACGATCCTGGCAGCGGGTGTGTATTCTTTTTCTCGCGCGGCAGCCAAGGCTGGAAAAACCTGCCCCCCCCCTACCGACCGGCCGACCTACCTACCTACCCTACTTATGGGAAACTAAAAAAGAAATCATGGCGGGGTGAAGATGGGGTACTATACCAACTAAAGTGATGGTTGGTGGTTGGTACTCTCCTGCAACCACAGTCCTTTCCTGTGACATGGCAGGCCACTCTCAAGCCCTACAAGCACCAGATCACCCACTTAGGGAGGGTTGACATCGGGTGATTTCGGCGGAAAATTTCTTTTTCTGCTGTGAAAATTCCAGCTTGAAGGAAGGGGGAAACCCGACAGGAGGGCCCAGACCTACCCTTCCTACCCCGTCACGGCTCGACGATGATGGAGAGCGGAAGGCAGCTTGAAGGGTGGCGACAGGCTTGCCCCCGGAGTCGGACGCGTCTGCAGCAGCGGCGGCACGCTTGCCCCCGGAGGCGATGGCGGTGGCGTCCCCGCCGGCATGCCGCCACGGACTTGGACAGCGGTCGGAGCTCCTGCAGGCGGGACGCTGCCGACCGCCGGCGGCAACGGCACCGCCGGCGGCAGGTCAACTATGCCTTGCCAAGGCACCCCGATGGCGCGCCGCTTCGGCGGCCTGGCCTGCTCCCGATCCGCCCCCGTGGCCGCTGCATCTTGCGGCGCGCTGCCAGCTGCTGCACCCCCGGAGAGGTCGAGCAGCACGGAGGCCGCGCACGCGTCGGAGGGGGCGTGGAGCACTTGTCCCTCTGGGGGCGGCGGCGGCGCAACCTCGCGGCCCGCCGTCTCCAGCGCCGCGGAAACCGCTCTTGGATTGTGCATCAGCGCTGGTACGGGGGCGGGGATGGCTGAAGGGCTGACGGCGGCGGCCAATTGCTGGGCGCGCGCCTCGAAGCGAGCCACGTCGCCGGCCTTCAGCACGCCGGCGGTGCGAAGACGCTGGAGCAGATCGCTCGGGCTTGTGGTGTCGGACATTGCGTGTCCAGGTTGTGCGGGCGCGGTGGCGCAAGACGCCAAGCCAGTCGGCACGGACGCCAAGCCGGCGAGGGGCAGTTCGTAGGCGGCGGCAAAGGATCGCGCGGCAGTGGAGGCAGCGGCGGCGGCGGCGGCGGCGGCGGCGGCGGCGGCGGCGGCGGAGTGAAGGGCAGCGGACCGGTGCTGCTGCAGCTCATCCCTTGGCGAGATTACCTGGGGGCTGAAGAGCACGCCAGGGATCGCGTCGTGGAGGGGGATGCCGATGACGTGGGAGGGCTCGGTGGAGGTCAGGGAGGCCTGAGAAGTGATCCGATGCCCTTGCGTCCAGAGGGAGGCGCTGGAGACCAGCTCGTCGAGGTTGCGCCCCGTCTCGGCCCGCGGTATGGCCGGCAGGGTGGGCGGTGTCATGTGCATCACGCCCGCCGTTGGCGCCAAGGCGAGGGGGGGCGGGTGGGCGTGCGGGCCCACCAGCGGCACGAGGGTGCGCCCGATGCGAAAAGTGTACCAGCCGCACGAACCGCGCGGAAACTCGCCGAGGCGATGGAGCGGAGCCGACGTTGCAAACTTCAGGATGACAATCGGCGGACCAATGCAGTTGAAGGTCTGGTTGACGACCCTGTGCGGCGGCCAGCCGTCTGCGTCGGGGCCCTCGTTCCAGCACCCGCCTCCGTGCTTGTTGGTCGGCACGCAGCCTGAGCAAACCACCCGCAAGCGGGAGGCGTGGATCTGCACTCCTCTCGCTCGACATGTGGTGCAAAACCTCTCTCTGAACGACGGGCCAGTCTTGACCGGCACTGGCGCGCACGCCGGCGTCGTGCCGCCCGACAGCAGATACCCCCAGCAGACAGCGTGTCCTCTTTCAGCCATGACCTCTTCAAAGGTGTCCTCCGCACCCGAAATTCCGCCGAGCGATGCCGCGGCACCCTGCACCGCGGTTGTACCCCTCTGCCCATAGGGTGTGTGTGTGTGTGTGCCCATAGGGGTGGTTGAAGGGTTGAGGGTTGAGGCCCCCCCTCAACCATCTGGTTGACGGTTGAGACCCCCCGTCAACCCTTTAGTTGTGGGGGTTGAGGCCTCCGGGGCCTCTCTATTCACACACAGGCTCGCGTGATCACAAGATAAACTGGAACAGCCTGCCGCCAAAAAAACGCTTCGCCTGCGGCGCGCTCTTGCGCTCCTCGTACCTCGAGCGCAATCCATAAGTAGGAGACGCTCACTGTCGCCATTCAGGCGCCTGATCTTTCAGCAAAGCGATGGCCTACCAGGTACGAGTTCAGATGCGCGCCCGGCAGAAGACGCTTGTGATGCCGCATGCAGTGGGATGCGCAGAGAGAACGGACGGCAAGAGAAGGCAAGGGAAGGAAGAGAAACGGCTGGTGAAGCTCAGCTCCACGGTGTAGCATTGCGTAAGCAACCGCGGTCACTCACCATGCACGGCAAGAGTCACGGTGAATGCTGCCGCATAAAGCAACAGAGTCGCGCTTGGCGCGATGGTCTTGTCGCGGTTCACGACTTGACGTTGCACACGGTCATAGACGCAGGATCTATTTGGCGAGTCTCAAGCAGCGAATGTAGGCGCGAGAAATTAATGTCGATCCTGAGATCTCAATTTTGGCGCTAGTTTCGTTTTCTGGTACATCACGACGACTTGCTTGGGTCTCATGTAGCTCGACGGCTCTTCGACGGCTCTTTCTGGTTGGATCAGACAGTGCTAATCAGTCAACAACGCAATGCCGAGAGCAGGGCGGCCTTAGAGCAGGGCGGCCTTCGAGCAGGGTCAACTAAGCTCCTGCTGCATTTCGAGCATGGTCCATGGAAGGCGGCCTTTGGTCAAACCTGTTCGAGTTGGCCTCCGGGAACAAGGGTGCGTGGCCGGCGCGGTCTGTTTCACGTGCAATGAGGGCAACGCCATCAAAATCGCGAACATGGGCCGACATGCCTCCGACATTTCTCAGGGCTCGGACGGAAGCTCTGCAGACAGCCAGACCGCTCTGCGCGGTCGGACCGACTTTTTCAGACTTTACTATTCTGGATACTGAGGGTATGTGCTGCTAGATCTCACTGAGCTGAGCTCGTATTTGCCTTTGGTAAGCAGTTTTGAGTTCGGTAATGTCTCCGGAGACGGAGGGCCGCGTCCGCGGACGGCCATGACGTCGGCCGGGACCGCCCCGTGGGGGCCTTCGATGGCTGTCAGCGCCCCTCCGGGCTTTGCATCACACCTCCCATTCACGCACGTAGCTGAAGCAAGAGAGAGAGAGAGAGAGCTCTTGCGGTCTCGGGCACCGCACCCGTGCTGCCACAAAGCACAAGATGTGCTGCCACAAAGCACCACTAGCGATTTCGCGCGGAGGGCGTAGTGAAGTGCTGGGGCGCTCACTGTGTGTTATTCGGGTGGGGATCCATCAGTGGTAAGCGGCTCTAGTCACAGATCCAAGCTCAGACGTCACACCAACACCACAAACACGCTCACTTCGCCGCTGCTGTAGATGGGCCTCCGGGGGCCCATGCTATGTCGAAGCACAGACCCGATCTCGGCACTCACGGGCTGCCACGCGCCCGCGCGCGGCGCGGGCCGCACCGCCCATGCCCCCGGGCCACCAACCCCGCCTCTCGGCCCTCTCGGCCCTCAGGAGCGTGCGGGAGACCGGCGAGGGGCGCGCCACGCGCCGCCTGCAGAGCCGCCAGAGGCATTGTGTCGCCTCCGCTGGCGGGGTTCCCGCGCGCCCGCCCGGCGCCCGCGCCCGCCCACGCCGCGCCCGCGGGCTCCGGATGCGCCGCGCTCCTTCTCCTTCTTCTCGATGGCAGTCCACATGTGCTTGTCGACGGGTCGGCGGCGTGGTCGAGGGGAAGGTCGCCGGCGGCCGCAACTCTGCCGCCGTCGCTCCGCCGGCTCTGATCGAGTATCGGGCGTTGAGGGCGGCGGCGCAAAGCGGGTCTGGCGCATCCATCGCCACGAGCTCACGGCGGCGGTCGTGGCACACCCGGCGGCTCTCGGGGCCGTCAGCTACGGCGCTCGACGCCGTGTGAGGTCGCCGGCGGCCGCAACTCCGTGTCTCCGCCGCCGTCGCTCCGCCGGCGTGAGCTTGCGAACATGGTTCATCGTCGGGGTTGCAATGTCGGGACAGTGTTGGGCGAACGGGCAGCCGAGAGCGACACTAGGAGCGACGCAAGCAGTTGGTGCCGTGCGGAACGCCGAAGGCTTCGACACGCAACTTGTTTTCATGCCTGGACGACTGCTCGGGCTTCGAGAGCGACAGAATTCTTGTCCGGTCCAGGTTATTTTTGCTTGGGCGGCCTCCATGCCGGGGTAGGTAGGGTAGGTCTGGGCCCTCCCATCGGGTTTTCCCTCTCTTCGCCCGGAATTTTCAAGGCAGAAAAGAAATTTCCCGACCGAAAGCGCCACACGGCCAGGCAATAAGAGCGAGGAGGACGGAGCTGCGCCGAAAGGCGAAAGAAGCCGCGAGAACAAGGGACCGGCAGGCGGCGGCGCCGCAGGACGAGGCAGAAGAGAACGACGCGACAGAGGAGGAAGTGACAAGGGAGAGAGCGACGAGAGTGGGACGGCCGCGAGGTGGCATGAAGGTTGCAGCGAGAAGCGGCGAGAGACTGCGAAAAGAGATACGAAGAGGCAGACTCCCCAGGGTGGGCGACGGCTAGCGCATCACACTCCTCTCCTTAAAATCCCTGTGTGGTGGCGGCGTGCCGTTCTCCCATCCCTCCCTTGAATTGGCTGTTTTCTTTCTTTCTTTCTGGCCAGGCAATAACGCCCGCCGAGAAAACGTCGACTGCCCAGATTTTGTCATCAGGTCGATCGAATTCCCACGGCGGGCGGTGTTGCTGCACATACGTGTTGTGTGTATATGTGGCGCCTGCTCACGTTCGCCCTCGCCCTCCTCGTCGCGCACGTCGGCGCCTTTTCGAGCACACCTGCGCGGACAGATGCACGAGAGCCTCCGGTCCCAGATCCGCCACCCCTCAGGTCTGCCCCACTGCTTGGTGCAGACGCTAACTTTGAGCCGGACATCGATCGCGATGGGGACGGCGTCCTTTCCTTCCGTGAGGCGTATGAATACGGGAGGTCGCTGCCCTGCAACAACTACACGGAATACCAGGTCCACCTTTGGCTGACGTTTAGCGCAAATGACGCCGACGGCGACGGCACCTACACGAAGGTAGAGGCGCGAGAGCACTTCCAGAGCCTCCCCGCTGAGGTGCAAGAGGGAATGGCTGGGTGCGTCGGGCATACTGGGAACGGACGCCGGCTCTCAGATGCGGATATCGTCTTGCGGTCGCCGGCATTTGCCGCGACCGTAAAGCCGATGCCGATTCCTGTTCCAACCCCGGACCCGGAATTCGAGGATAACTACAACTCGTACGAATCGACCCGGCTCGGCTTGGATGTACTTTTCAAATGCTTCGAATATGGGCGGTGCCCATCCGGTGTGACACCGGACGACATGGACGACTTCCTGAACAACGTGCTGACGCACTTCAAGAGGCAGCAGTCCATTGCACAGCTGACTGAGCAGGTCAGCAACGGCGCGGTTCAGGCCGTTAAAGACGAGGCAGACAAGAGGAACGCGGATCTGAAAACCAATTCTGAAACAGTGGCGGGTCTTAACCTCGCCTCGGGCGTGGCTGGAACGGCGTCGATTTTCTTCAGGGGGGCCCCCGGAGTTGGTCTCTTCCTCACCGGGAGCACTATCGGCACTATGGTTGCCGCTCAAGTGGTCGGCCTAAAGCAGAAGGAGTTGCAAGAGGGCGTCATCGAGTACATCACCGGCTTTCAGAAGAAGGTGGTCGACCGGCCGGAGATGGACTCCATCAGGGAGTGGTCAATTGCTGGCAGCAATATGGGCGCCTTTTTCCCTCGCCTGCTGATTGCCACGACCTTTGAAAGTATGTGGGCTTTGTTCGGCGCAATCCCAGTTGCAACCCAGGCGGCCATGACGGACGCGAGCTTGCAGCCATACATGCATAAACAGGGTGACTTTTACTGCCCTGATCCATGCACTTACCCATACGATCACCTCACCGTGGACGCCATGAAGACCTACATTAAGCTCATGGCCGCGCCGGCGGCCACGCTCCAGTACAGTGGAGAAGCGGAGAAGCTCAAGCAATACATGCTTGAGTTGGCCAACGCCACCGTTGGCGAGTTTGATCAGGTGCCTTTGGGTGGTCTGACCACCCTATACACCAAGTATTTTGGTGAGCTGGGTCCGCAGCTTGTTCAAATCGGTCAAGGCCTACTGGGGCTCTATACCGTGCCCATCTTCTTCAAGAGCGCGTACCAGCTTCGTCCTTCAGCGGTGTGGAAGTGGTGGAAGGCCGGCGCCCCGATTTATGACGCTGGGTTCACCAGGAGGTACATTCCGCCGGCATCAAAGCTAATTGGACTCGAAACATCTCGCATGGCTGGGTTTCCGAGTGCCAGCCAATTGAATCGCGTCGACAACTATCTCGTGAGGAGGGTGGTTTACGACATCGAGATAAGAGGTGAAGGTATGATGAATGCAGCAACGGATTACAACAGCCCGATGTACAAGCGAGGGCTCGACCTGAAGAATCAAGCTCGCGAGATGTTGAATAATCCTGGTAACCGACCAGGTAACATGGCTGTGGACCCGCGCGCCTGGAAGCCGCACCAGCAAAGGCTATTTCAGTCGCAACTCCATGACAACACACCTTCGAGCTTGCGAACCAAGAAAAGCATCGCTGACCAACTGGACAAATCACCGGCGAAAAAGTCCCGGCTGGCCGCGATCGGAAAATCAAGCGCGGTGGGTAAATGGACACGGTTTGGATACAGGCTGGCCAAGGGGCTCGTCGTCCTCGTTGGTGTGTTCATCACTGTTCTCCAGGTGTTCGCCATCATCGCTGCACATCAGGTCTATGACGAGTACGCGGATGCCATCGGAAAGACCGCAGCCGACGTCGCACAATACTACCGAGAGGTCATCTCGGCTTACTCAGAGCAAGAGGCGGCGCCGGAGGAGCCGGAGGAGGAGCCGGAGGAGGCGTAACGTGCGCTCTTCGCTTGTGATCATTGCGCAGCTTGTGTTCGCACAAATACGTGTCGCAGCTTAAGGCGTATTATAAGTGGTTGAAAAATTCGTGTAGTCGAATAGTACGGCATGGAATTAGAAACTGCAAAACAAGGATCAACGGGTGCGTTAGCTCCGAAAAGAAACAGACAGGGGCACCCACAATCCCACATGGGTTGCCATTCCTCAACACAAGCGTGGCCGCGCAGAGGAGCGAGACGTGAGACGCCGCCAGCCGGAGCCCAGCCGGAGCCGTCAGCCGTGCCTCGAGCCGGGGAGCGAGTCCGCTAGCTCTAGGGTACCCTTACCGCGGTACTTGACACCCCCCACACTGTCTCTCAGACTAATGCCGATATATGCTTGAGCCGTTTTTCGACGACGCGAAACGGTTGCTTAATAATGCAAAAGGGCGGTGAGATGTCTGATGAACGTTGATCTTGTGATTGAATGTTGGCCAAAAACCCATGCCGAACCCCCACGCCCAATTGGAATTGCCCCTCTAACCATTTGTTCCACTTAGCACTTTTCTTGCGCACGTTGCGGCGGGGAGCAGTCAGATGTTGCTAGAGACGGCCTGGGCCGTCACACTGCATCGCTCGATCGGGGACGGGAGCGGTGTGCCGAAGGGCGAGCCCAACGCTGCATCAAGCGATGGCGCTGCTCTGACCGCCACTGGCTTGGCAGCGGCGCCGCCAAGCGAGGGCGGAGACTCGGCGGCCGGGTTGGTGAAGGAGGTCGCAACACGGGCAATCGGGGGTTCGGGAGCGTCGCGCGCGTCCCGTGCTGGCCTGCTCGAGTCTTTGGCCGAGCTGGCCCGCCCCGACGCTTCCCACGGCCCCTCACTCACCTCTGCGAGCAGAGAGAGGCGGCGCGACGGCTCGGTGGCAGGCGCTGCGGCGTGCAGCACACCTCGGCGCTGCGGCGAGCCAGCGACGAGGGCGCCGCACTCGTCGCCGCCGTCCCCTCCCCGCAGCGGGTGAGCTGACGCAAGGTCGAGGCGCGAGCTCCAGCCGCGGTGAACGTCGTGGCGCAGCGTGTGGCGCACGGCGAGCCCCGTGCCGCGCGCGGGGTGGGAGGAGGTGACTTGGATGAACAGGCCGAGAATGTCAGACGCCGTGAAGGGCGGCGCGGACGAGGCGTCCGAGGCGGTGCTATGCCCGGAGCCTGTAGCCGCGCGGTGAGACGCGTCAGCAACGTCGGTCTAGCCATGCCGCCGCACTGCACGGCCCCCGCGCCGGGGTACTGCGCCCGGCTGTGTGAGGCCGTGATAGGGCTGCGAGAGGGCTGTGTGTGATGCGAGCTTTGATAGAGCTGTGTGAGGGCGTGATAGGGCCGAGCACCGGGGTACTGCGCCCGGCGCTTTGACTCGTCTCGCGGCGTGGGCGAGCAGATCTCCGGGGAGGCGACCAGCATCGGGAGGGGTTGCGCCGACCGGACGGCACGGAACGCCTACAGTGTGCTGCGCACCAGCCTCAGGGGCGGGAACACACGGCATTGTGCAGAGTACATTCGTGTGACTACACCAGCCTCGGGGCGGGATTACGGCATCGTGCAAGGTCTTCAGACGCCTCGCGTACGAGGGCAATGGATTCCCGAGTACGGCCGAGCACAGCGGAGCGCGTGTCCTCTCGAGCGCGAGTTGGAATACAAGACTCCGCAGTCCGCTTCTAGGACGGAGGGCCTGCAGCAGCGAGGAGCCCTCGCCGAGGAGAGCCTCGTCGAGCGCGCGAGAGTCGGGCGCGGAGAGGGGCTGGAACCGGCCGTGCGGCGCGTCGTCCTCGGGCGCCGCGAGCTCCGACGGCCGAGGAAAAGGGTCCACCTGGGGGGGGGGGGGGGGGGGGACGCTTCCATGCTCAGGACCGACCGCCGCCGGGGGGCGGAAGCTCCGCGCCGGGGCCGCTGCACCGGGGTGTGCGGCGACGCTGCGCCCGGGGGGGTACACAGCGCCACGCGGGCGAGTGACTCGCGCCCGGGCGCATCCCACCCCGGCTCCCAGGGGCGTGACCCATCGTCAAGGGCGCTCCCTGCGCCGAGCGAAGCTTTGCGCTCGCCGCGGCGGGCCGGAGAGCCCCGCCTACGGGGTGAGTCCGCCAGCCTCGGGCGGGAGATATGGGGAGATCTGGGGAGATCTGGGCAGCCTGCGTGGTGAAAACGCCAGCCTCGGGGCGGGAAACACGGTGTTGCCCAGAGTCTTCAGAGCACCGCGTGAGTACGAGGGGCTACGAGCACAGTGAATGCAGCGGAGCACGGCCGAATGAGCACAGCGGAGTGCGTGTCCTCTCGAGTCTAGCTGGAGTACAAGAATACCCCATTCCGCTTCTAGAGATCCTCGCAGCGCCTCGCGTGCAGCCGAGCCGCGCAAGCCGGCGAGGGCGATGGAGTCGAGCTCACAGGGCGCCGCGGCGGAAGAGGTGCGGCAGAAGGCGCCGCCGCCCGGCGCCTTGCCCGCGGCGTGCGAGAAGCGGCGCAGGCCCGCGGCGAGCGTGGCGTTGGCGCCGACCGAATCGCGGAGCCGGTAGGCTGCGGCGAGGTGCTCCCCCGCCGCCATCTCGCTCGCAGTGTCGAGCACGTGCGCGCGGAAGTCTGTGTGGATGCGGTCGTCCCGCCGGAAGGAGGAGTGGGCTGCGAAGGGGCCGGCGACGGGAGCGGCGGAGGAGCGGCGCTGTCGCCGCAACTCGAGCGCCTTCTCCTCCGCCGAGAGGAGACGGAACGGCACCTCCTTCTCCTCGCCGCCCTCTGCGCCGTGGCGCTGCTTTCTGCCCGAGGTGATCGCCAGGACGCCTCCGATGGCGAGCGTCACGCGTTAAATAATGGACGAATGAAGTAATGAACTAGCGAACTAGTGAAGTCGCCTCCGATGGCGAGCGCCACGCCGGCGGAGCGAACTGGAGCCAGCCCTGCCACGGCATGCCGTGGAACTCACGGTAGACAACCCCGCCGCCGACGATGGAGATGAGGGTAAAGGTGCAGTAGTAGACCGGGACCACTTCGGTGTTGCCGAAGATCATCATCGCCTGCGGAAAGGGACCGGTTGGGAGAGGGGCGGGGGGCGGCGCGGGGGGCGGCGCGGAGGGCGGCGCGGAGGAGGGCAGCGGGGAGGGCGACGCAGAGGGCGACGCAGAGGAGGGCGGCGGCGGCGGCGGCGGCGGCGGCGTGTGTGTGTGTGTGGGGTGGTGGTGAGGGGGCGTGTTTGTGTCTTTGGGGGGGGGGGGGGGGGGGGACTCGCGACCAGAGGGCGCGAGCCTGCCACGACAGCCTGGGTGAAACGCTCGAAGCAGGCGCGGCGACACGCAGCGGCAGCGGCGGCTGCAGGGGGGGGGGGGCTCACCTTGTTGAGGTAGACGGCACTCCAGACGGCGGTGATGATGATGATGACGAGGAGGACCTGCGAAGGACGCCGCAGACGTGTCGCCGAACCGTCGCGACGGGGAGGAGGACCACGCGCTCACGCGCCCAGAAGAGATAATGGGCAACCGTGAGGCGGCACGGCGGGAAGAGCTCTTCGGCCACGCAGTGCGCGTGGGCGCAGTCGCCAGCAGCAAACTGCGGCAGCAGGGAAGCGAAGCCGCGCGCGGCGATGACCGTCATGGAGGAGATCATCGAGCAGAGAAGGAGCCTACGGCGGGCGAGTGCGAACCCTCGACGCGCCGCCTCCCGAGAAGTCGGGGAGCCGGCCAGCGGCAGGAGACGCCAGATGAGCACAGTCTTCTGGGCGTAGCGCGGCTCGAGATAGGCGACGAAGAAGGCGACCTGCGGGCGGGAGAGGCGTGAAGGGGCGCTCTCCGAGGGCGCACGGGAGAGAGGGCACTGTGCGGACCGCGCAGCTCAGCCCGATCAGGTACGAGTACGCGACGGGATCCGAGTAATACTCGTCCTGAAGGACGACGGCGTTGAGCTCGACAGGGTCCTCGGGCACGCCAAAGATGATGAGCACCACGCCCGCGACGATTGCAACCAGGCCGGCGGCGTCTCGCCAGCGGAACGGCTCCTTTAGGAAGACGACGGCGATCACCTCGTTGGCGACCACGCCCACCGACCCGACTGGCGCGACGACCGAGGCGGGCGCGAAGCCGTAGGCCAGCATGTTTCCCAGCTCGCCTCCGACGTTCAGCAGGAGGCCGAGCCACCAGAGCGGCAACTTGAGCATGCTCTTGACTGGCTTGCCGTCGGCGCCCTCGTTGCGCATGTGCGCCGTCTTCTGCACGTTAAGCGAGATAGCGATGATCACGTCTGCGACGACCGAGAGGATGACGCCGATGACGAAGGTGTTGGTGCCTATCACTGAGATAGACTGCGGCTGATGCGCCGCGGCCGACGGGTAGCACATTTGTGGCCATCCTCCTCCTCTCCTTCCTCAGCCTCCGACTCCTCTCCCGTGCTGCTGGTGCTGTTGTCGAGAGCGCACGAGCCTGCGCCGAGGGAGAGAGAGAGAGAGGCGGTTGGTGCAGCGGCGCGCCGCGCGCTCGGGGCGTTGCGACCGCTAAGGCGCGCCGTTGATCGCGTCGCGGACCATCAAGACTGGCGGAGCGGGAGCGAGAGCGGAATCGGGGGCGAGGAAAGGCGGTTGCGTTCGAAAGCAGAGCAAAAAAAGGGCGAAAAGGGCTGTTTTGGTGCTCCCCGCACCCCAAACGCGCGCGCGCAGCGCGCGCTAGGGGTGCCGGCGGCACCCCTAAGCGGCGCGCAGCGCCGCCGCACCCCTAAAACGCCCAGGTTGCAGGTAGGTACGCCGAATTTCGCCCTTTTCGCTTCGCTGCGCGGCCTGGGAATAGGTATAGGTGGTAGTAGGTAGATAGGTAGGGCGTTTTGGCGCGAGTCATGGTGAACAGACCCCCTATCTGAGGCGCCGGAGCTCCACATAGCAAATAAAGAATCCTCTCTCTCACGTAGCAATATACGGCTAAGAATTTTTGTTAGTTTGGTTTGACCATTGGCGGGCGTCACATGTACATGTTGTGCATGCACAACATGTTGCACATGCCATCGTGTGACGTGTGACAGCGAGTTTCCCGGTAAATTCTGTTTTCCGCTTCTCTGCGACGGCTTGTAAGGAGCCGTCGGGGAGAGGGGGGACGACACTGCCTCGGCAGCGTGCACCTCGATCCTGCACCGTGTTTGTTATGACCCCCCCCAATGAACACACCAGTGAGGGAGGGCGAGACGATCGAGGGGTCCCGTACCATGCGGAATCGACCCTATCCAGTGCTCAAGTGCTCAAGGAGCCGTCCTAGGTCCGTCGTCTGCGCCTTGCCGTGAATCGTATGAGAAGCCCAAATCCTTTTCTTTCGGGATAAAAACGCGGCGAAGCTTTTCTTTTCCAGTCCCGTGAAAAAAGAAAGAAAGAAAACAGACAACCCAAGGGAGGGATGGGAGGACGTCCAGTGTAAAAGAAAGAAAGAAACTTCTTTTGCGTTAAGAAAAGAATATGTCGCGAACACGCCGGGCTCTCCTCGCCGCATCGCTCCTGCGAGCCTCCGCGAGCACAATGGCCACATGCGAGACGCGCACGGTCCCGTTCGTCCTTGTCGGCGCGGGTGGCGTCGGCGCAGCGCTGCTCGAGGCCATCGTGGGCGCCCGGGCGCTGCACAAGGCGCGATACGGCATCCGCTTCTCTGCGCTCGCGGTGTGCGATTCGTCGGCGGCGGTGAGCGGCGCGGACGCGGCCGGCGGCCTCTCCGATGCTGAGATCGCGGCGCTCATCGCGCACAAGGCCTCCGGAGGCAAGCTCGCCTCGCAGTCTGGTGCGGTGGTGCGGCCAGCGGAGCAGGACGCCTCCGTGTTCCTCGAGTCGCTGGTTGACAAGTACTCCAAGGAGGCTCCGGACACGATCGTCGTCGACTGCAGCGCCACCGACGCCACCGTGCCCGCCCTCCTCAAAGCGGCCACCACCGCCAACATGCGCGCCGCCAGCGCCAACAAGAAGCCGTTTGCCGACTCGAGCTTCCGCAACTTCCGTGAGCTCTGCCTCGCGCCGACGTCGCCCGCGCGCGTGCGGTACGAGTCGAGCGTGGGCGCCGGTCTGCCTGTCATCGCGGCGCTCGCACGCGTCGTCAGCGCCCACGACGCGGTCACCCTCATTTCGGGCTCCTTCTCGGGCACACTCGGGTACGTCATGTCGGGGCTGCAGGCACACGCTGCATGTGCACACGCACGCTCCACCCGCGCCCACCCATGCTGACACCTGGGGCCCGCCATGCCGTCCGCAGGCCGGCGAGTCGTTCAGCGCGGTGGTTGGCAAGGCCAAGGAGCTCGGCTACACTGAGCCCGACCCTCGCGACGACCTCGGCGGGGAGATAGGGGGAGATAGGGGGAGAGAGGGGGACACGTTTCGCACCTAGAGGTCTGGTGCTGCGAGGAAATTGTGGGGAGATGCGGGGAGATCTGGGGATGTGCTCCGCATCTAGGCGGCGTCGACGTCGCGCGCAAGGCGCTGATCCTCGCGCGCACCCTCGGCATGGCCCTCGAGTGCGTGCCCCGGCCCCCGCATTTCCCGTCTGCCCTCCGCCACACCAAGTGACAGACTCGTCCTCCTGATGCTAGCCACCCGACGCGCTCCGCTGCAGATGCGCGATGTTCTGCGGCTAGCATCTCTCCCCATCTCTCCCCATCTCTCCCCATCTCTCCCCATATCTCGCAGGCTCTCGGACGTCGTGGTGGAGCCTCTCTACACGCCCGAGCTCGCCGAGCTCTCCGTGCCCGACTTTCTCGCCGCGCTGCCCACCCTCGACGCCGCCTTCGCCGCCAAGGTCGCCGCTGCCGCGGCAGAGGGCAAGGTGCTGCGCTACGCCGCAAACGTCCGGCCGCCCGCGGCGGACGGCACCGGCGGCGGCTCCCTCAAGGTTGGCCTCGTGGCGGTGCCGGCTTCATCGCCCCTGGGCACGCTGAGCGGCTCGGACAACCTCGTCGAGATCTACTCCCAGTGGTATGCCGCCACGCCGCTCGTCCTGCGAGGCGCCGGCGCCGGAGCAGGCACCACCGCAGCGGGCGTGCTTTCGGACATGGTTGAGCTGGCGAACACGCGTGGCTGACCCGGCCCCCCGAGGGCGGGGGCGGCGGCCGTGGGCACGTCACCTCAGATTTTAACCATGTAGTGTTAGCGCGGCGCCTACCGCCCGCGCGCCGCTGGCTGGAGGCTGGTGCCCCGTGGCTCCACTCTCCACCTCCCGCGGGACGCGACGGCGCAGCCTGCGCGTGAGCGAGAGGTTGCACGTCGGACGAAAGGTGGGCGTACCTGTGGGCATGCAGCATGTTACATGATTTGAACACTTCTCCACCTCACACGAGACACGAGGTGCGTGCGCCCCTGTACGGAGAGCTGTGCGCTCAGCGCTGCGCGGTTTTGCTATTCGGCGCCTGCGGCGGGCTGGGGGACCCCCGATCCAGGGTTCGTGAGTGAAATTTCACCCTTTCACTTTCACATGTGAATTCATGTGAATTTCACATGAAACGTTTCGGCCGCCCCCGTTTCACTGAAAATTTCACAAGTTTGCATCCAAACGCGGTGAAAGCGACGAAGTATAGAAAGGAGAGAGCCCAACCGAGTAACTAGTGAGAGGAGGTGCGAGAGCAGCTTAATTCGTGAGGTGTGTCCTGCTCGGGGCTCAGGCGCTCGAGGACGTGTGTGTAGCCTCAATGTTCTTTTAATGCGCCCCCCCCGCCGAAATACAAATACACCGACATGCGAGATGCGTCGGCAGCGACGCGCACGACGACCTCTAAGGAGCACCGTGATCCGTGTCGTTAGGGTTAGGGGTAGGGGTAGGGTCAGGGTTAGGGTTAGGGTTAGGGTTAGGGTCAGAGAGTCCAAGCCGTTGTGTGCAGCTTTTAACAGCAAATGGTCCGGTTTGGGCCGAAGCCAAATGGAGAAATCAGCGGTCCGTCGACCCGAGCTCTCGGTGAATGCTTTGGGTTCTTCGGGCTAGGGTTAGGGTTAGGGTTAGGGTTAGGGGTTAGGGTAAGGGTTAGGGTTAGGGTACGTTGGTTGTCGTCGCACGCTCTCGATATCTGGCTAAGACGAGACACAGCATCAGAGGCGACCCAAGCGACACACCAGAGCACGGCCGGGGGCGCGAGCCGCCATCTTGGACTGTGAGGCGAGTATTTGCCACCGGGAGCTCGCCGCCGCCCCTACACCGCCGCCGCCGCCCTCCCGAGGCCAGATAATAGCCCAAGTCGAAGAGTGCGCTCCGCCCTCGGTATCTGGGTGGTATACGGGACTAGAGAGGCACGCCAGAGGACGGCCGGGGGCGCGAGCCGCCATCTTGGACTGTGAGGCGAGTATTTGCCACCGGGAGCTCGCCGCCGCCCCTACACCGCCGCCGCCGCCCTCCCGAGGCCAGATAATAGCCCAAGTCGAAGAGTGCGCCCCGCCCTCGGTATCTGGGTGGCAGGCGGGACTAGAGAGGCACGCCAGAGCACGGCCGGGGGCGCGAGCCGCCATCTTGGACTGTGAGGCGAGTATTTGCCACCGGGAGCTCGCCGCCGCCCCTACACCGCCGCCGCCGCCCTCCCGAGGCCAGATAATAGCCCAGTCGAAGAGTGCGCCCCGCCCTCGGTATCTGGGTGGCATACGGGACTAGAGAGGCACGCCAGAGGACGGCCGGGGACGCGAGCCGCCATCTTGGACTGTGAGGCGAGTATTTGCCACCGGGAGCTCGCCGCCGCCCCTACACCGCCGCCGCCGCCCTCCCGAGGCCAGATAATAGCCCAAGTCGAAGAGTGCGCCCCGCCCTCGGTATCTGGGTGGCAGGCGGGACTAGAGAGGCACGCCAGAGCACGGCCGGGGACGCGAGCCGCCATCTTGGACTGTGAGGCGAGTATTTGCCACCGGGAGCTCGCCGCCGCCCCTACACCGCCGCCGCCGCCCTCCCGAGGCCAGATAATAGCCCAAGTCGAAGAGTGCGCCCCGCCCTCGGTATCTGGGTGGTATACGGGACTAGAGAGGCACGCCAGAGCACGGCCGGGGGCGCGAGCCGCCATCTTGGACTGTGAGGCGAGTATTTGCCACCGGGAGCTCGCCGCCGCCCCTACACCGCCGCCGCCGCCCTCCCGAGGCCAGATAATAGCCCCAGTCGAAGAGTGCGCCCCGCCCTCGGTATCTGGGTGGCAGGCGGGACTAGAGAGGCACGCCAGAGGACGGCCGGGGGCGCGAGCCGCCATCTTGGACTGTGAGGCGAGTATTTGCCACCGGGAGCTCGCCGCCGCCCCTACACCGCTGCCGCCGCCCTCCCGAGGCCAGATAATAGCCCAAGTCGAAGAGTGCGCCCCGCCCCCCCTCGGTATCTGGGTGGCAGGCGGGACTAGAGAGGCACACCAGAGCACGGCCGGGGGCGCGAGCCGCCATCTTGGACTGTGAGGCGAGTATTTGCCACCGGGAGCTCGCCGCCGCCCCTACACCGCCGCCGCCGCCCTCCCGAGGCCAGATAATAGCCCAAGTCGAAGAGTGCGCTCCGCCCTCGGTATCTGGGTGGCAGGCGGGACTAGAGAGGCACGCCAGAGCACGGCCGGGGACGCGAGCCGCCATCTTGGACTGTGAGGCGAGTATTTGCCACCGGGAGCTCGCCGCCGCCCCTACACCGCCGCCGCCGCCCTCCCGCCGAGGCCAGATAATAGCCCAAGTCGAAGAGTGCGCCCCGCCCTCGGTATCTGGGTGGTATACGGGACTGGAGAGGCACGCCAGAGCACGGCCGTGGACGCGAGCCGCCATCTTGGACTGTGAGGCGAGTATTTGCCACCGGGAGCTCGCCGCCGCCCCTACACCGCCGCCGCCGCCCTCCCGAGGCCAGATAATAGCCCAAGTCGAAGAGTGCGCCCCGCCCTCGGTACCTGGGTGGCAGGCGGGACTAGAGAGGCACGCCAGAGGACGGCCGGGGGCGCGAGCCGCCATCTTGGACTGTGAGGCGAGTATTTGCCACCGGGAGCTCGCCGCCGCCCCTACACCGCCGCGGCCGCCCTCCCAATGCGTCGAGATACTCTCGACTGCAAATACTCGCCTGCTGAGAGAGTTCATCCCACCATCGGCACCGTATTCGCCCACAGCACGCCAAGATATTCATATTGGTCTAGTGCACACATCAGCTCAGCGTGACCAATATCTCCAGCCTCCTTCTAACCTTCATCGCTTGGCTGCTGCTTGGTGCATGGGGTGGAGCCAACACTTGCAAGTGTGAAGTGAGTGTCAGAGTGTCGGAACTCGGTGGGAGCATCCGTCCTTATTCACGTTCACACTCGCTCGGAAAAGTGAAATTTCGTTTCACATGAAATGTGAAGTGAAAGTGAAAGTGAAATCGATTCGCTGTTTCCATGTGTGATGTGAAATCACGAACCCTGCCCCGATCTCCCCCCCGCATGGACACCCTCTGGGGCCCCCGCGCCGGCCCAGAGGTGTGTGCCCGCGCAGAAATTGCCTTTTTTCGCTGCTCAACACACTATAGAAGATCGACTGAGCTCACACGCGGGCAAACCCTCTCACTGCCCCGGCGCCCACCCCCACGACTCGATCTTCTTGGGCAGCAGCTGGTTCGACAGGTCCTCTCCGTGGCCAAGGCAGCCGGCATCGCCCTCGCCCCAGGTAAGGAAGGCGCCGCCGGCGGTGATGGTGATGCTGTGGTACTCTCCAGCCGACACAGCGACGACGCGCTGGCCAGCCAAGGCCTCGATCTTCTTGGGCAGCAGTTGCTCCTGCTGGTCGCCGTGGCCCAGCAGGCCAAAGAGTCCACTGCCCCAGCTCCAGACGGAGCCGTCGGCGGTGAGGGCGAGGCTGTGGTGCGATCCAGCCGAGACAGCGACTGTGCGCCGCCCAGCGAAGGCCTCGATCTTCTTGGGCAGCAGCTGGTGCTGCGAGTCGCCGTGGCCCAGCATGCCCAAGCCTCCAGCGCCCCAGCTCCAGACGGAGCCATCGGCAGTGACGGCGAGGCTGTAAGCCCCTCCAGCCGACACGGCGACGACGCGCCGCCCTGCAAAGGCCTCGATCTTCTTGGGCAGCATCTGGTGCTGCTGGTCGCCGTGGCCCAGCTTGCCCAAGCCTCCATCGCCCCAGCTCCAGACGGAGCCATCGGCGGTGAGGGCGAGGCTGTGGGCAACTCCAGCCGACACAGCGCTGACGCGCTGGCCAGCAAAGGCCTCGACCTTCTTGGGCAGCAGCTGGTTCTGATCGTCGCCGTGGCCCAGCTGGCCAAAGGCTCCATGGCCCCAGCTCCAGACGCTGCCGTCGGCGGTGACGGCGAGGCTGTGAGCCCATCCAGCCGACACAGCGACGACGCGCTCGTCAGCAAAAGCCTCGATCTTCTTCGGCTGCCACTGGTTCTGCTCGTCGCCTTGGCCCAGCCGGCCTTGGCCTCCAAAGCCCCAGCTCCAGACAGCGCCGTCGGCGGTGATGGCGAGACTGTGCACGCCTCCAGCTGCCACGCTCACGGCGCGCACTTCGCCCAGCGTTGACGGAAGGCGCGTCGGCGTGTTGAGCTGCGTCACGCCCTCGCCGTGGCCGAGAAGGCCTGGAGATTCCTCCTCCTCGTCGTCTTCCTCCGCTGCCTCATTACCGCACGACGAGAGCCGCCCCTCGCCGTCAATGAAGAGGCTGTGCCGTTCGCTTCCCGCCGCCCTCGCCGGCCGGTTGGACTCGTGCAGCAACGCAGAATAGCACAGCCACCGCACGACGCAGCTCTCGCCCTCTGGCTGCGCCGGCAGCTCGAAGCCGCGCTCTTGCGCCCACAAGCGGATGGCCTCCTTCGCGAGCGAGGCGTGAAAGAGGAGCGAGACGGCCGCGACGCGAGCAATGTCGATGGGGCTGTCGAAGCGGGAGAGGACGCGCTCGAGGAGCTCCCTGGGAAGGTCGAGCAGGCGGGCGGGCGGCGGCGTGCTTGGCGAGGGCGCGGCGGTGGCGGCGGAGGCGAGGCGGCGCGAGCGGCGGCGCGGCGGGGTGGATATCGCGAAGAAAAGAATTCAACGGCAGGGCGGCGGTAGCCGCCCCTCACCCCACCCCTAATCCTCCTGGCCCTGCTAGTGCCACGCACACCGCCGCGTTGAGCCCAACACCGCCTCTTATGAGCCCAACGCCGTCTCAGGTAAAACACCCGCGGCGGCCCTGGAATTTCTTCCACACACGATTCGGTTCGCTTCCTCGACGAATCAACACAGGCAAACATGTACATGTGCATGCAGAGGAGCAGCAGCAGCCCCTCGTACACATTCATGGCGGCGTGCGGATGACGCGCGACAGGAAGTTGGAAATAGGGGTGTCCGGCGGTGACTATCTGTGTCGCTTTTCGTTTCTGTGTGGGTGTTTTTATTCATTGGCATGCGATGCGGTGTTGTCAGCGTACGGGTTACTTCGAACGATTGGATACAGTGGCAATACAGTCTCATGCAACGCTCGCACAGAGATGACACACATGGATACACACTGGTCAGTGCTCGCCTCACCCCTCACGCACCCTGGGAGCTGGGTGATCCGCGCCTAGACGACGTGTGGCAGTATGAGTAGGTTGCCCAAGTTTGCAAAGACATGCACCCCGCAGTGCACGCGGTGACCAGCGAGCACCGCTCCTCGCACGGTCAGGATGCGACCACACGCGTAGCAGGCGCCGCCGGCAGTGTATCCGGCGAGTATAAGCGGGAGAGCTCGCCCACTGCAGTATCGCCACGCGAGGAGGACCTGCACCGCCATGCCGACTCGCACCGCGAAGAGGTCGACTGTGCGGCGCAGGCTCTCCTTGATAGGGTTGGACCAGTAGATCACGGAGGACGCAAGGACAGCCGTCGGCCCAATGCCGAACGGGACGTAGACGCCACGCCGGCACGCCTCGCTCACGCTGAAGCTCGTCAGCAGTGACGAGACGAAGCATGGGTTTGCGAGACAAGAGCGCGGGCGGAGGGGCTGCCAGTCGGAGGAGCCGAGATCGGTGAGCAGCGAGCTGAGTCGGCCGACGGGCGGCGACTCCGCTGTGATGCGGGAACAGCGAAGAGAGCTGTGCTCAACACCGAGCGTGCTAAAACGAGTCGACGAAATGCTGAGAGCGACGCTGGCGGCCAGGTTGAGCATGCACGCGGGGCCGGCACGAAAAGGCTAAACTGGGTTCGGCTCCTACCCAGATAGGGGGTCTGCGCGGACTGGCTGGCCCCTCCCAGATAGGTAGGTAGGTTGGTCTTGTTTGGCCCAAAAGGGCCCTGCAATAGGTAGGTACACCCTATTTTCATCTTTTTTCGCTTCGCTGCGCGGCCTGGGGATAGGTAGGTAGGTAGGGCGTTTTGGCGCGAGTCAGTCCGAACAGACCCCCTATCCGGGTAGGCATCCCACGGCGCGCCGGGGCGTGCAGTGAGCCTGGCGAGCTGTGGGGGTGGGGGGGGGGGGGACATCCGCAAAACCCCCCTTTTCAGTGTATGTGCATGCACATGCACATGTGCATGTAGCTCTCACGAAGGTCCGTCCGTACCGTCCCAGGAGAGAGAGAGAGAGAGAGAGAGAGAGAGAGAGAGAGAGAGAGAGAGAGAGAGAGAGAGAGAGAGAGAGAGAGAGAGAGAGAGAGAGAGAGAACGCGGTGTTCTGGAGTTTCTTGTAAATTTCTTCGCCGATTTTTTATCCCTTGTTGTCCTCCGACGACTCCTCGTCCACACGTGGCACGATGGTGGTCGCGTTGCTGCTGGCTGCCGTACCTCAACCACCACCAACCGGGGAAGGCTGCTTCACCCCTACGACCTTGAAGGCCACGCGCAAGGGACAGTGGCTAAACTGGGGCTCGTGCGCCGCTGGCGAGTTTGCCGTTGAGATACAGCAGCGGATTGATAGCAGCGGCACGGGGTCGGGTCTGAATGCATTGAAAATGAAGTGCACCGATGGCACGATTATTCGATCGCACACAGGCTTTTGGGGTACCTGGGGCGACTGGGCCCGCTGCCCTGGCCAGGTTGCCTTTGACGGCTTTGCCATCAAGAATGTCGACGACACTGCCGCCAATGCTGTGCGGATGTACTGCGGATCAACTATGTCTGCTTCCGAAGTTGATGCTGGCATGGGTGTCTGGTCGGATAAAGTCTCTTGCCCGCCTGGAAGCGCGATCTGCGGCTTCCGAATGCGACTCGAGGATGATCAAGGCGCGATCATGAACGATATTGAGATGCAGTGCTGCACGATGGATGGCCTGGAGAGATGCGATTCTCCGCCCTCACCGCCACCCTCGCCGCCGCAGCCAGCGCCACTCTTCCCTCCCGGGATCCCTTCGGACATGCCCCGAGCGCCTCAGCCCCCGCCGTCGACGCCACCGCCCTCCCCACAGCCGCCACCCTCTCCACCGCCGACGCCGCTACTACCCTCGTCACCCTCGTCGCCACCGTCGCCACCGACGCCACAGCCATCCACCCCACCTCCAGCGTCAACTCCTCTGAGCCTGCCGCCACCACAACCGCCATACCCTCCCTCGCCTCCGCCCTCGACGCCGCCCACACCGCCATCCACTCTCCCTCCTGCGTGCACACATTCCGTGCGCACCGGCGCAGCGATTCTTCACAAGCATAGCCTTGGCGACAAGATCTATTACGGCTCCGGAGGTGTCTGCGAGTGCGTGGCGGCCTGCAAGAACCACACCGAGTGCGTGGCTATCGTGCACAACCGGGAGGAGGATCCGCCCAACTGCAGGCTCAAGAGCGTGGCGGACATCTACGACGTCATCGGAATTGCCAAGGACGTCCTATTCCCGCCACCGTCGCCACCGTCGTCACCGTCGCCACCATCGCCGCCACCATCGCCACCGTCGCCGCCATCGCCGCCACCGTCGCCACCGTCGCCACCGTCGTCACCGCCGCCGCCACCGTCGCCGCCGTTGTCGCCGTCTTCCTACAGACAATCAGCATCGGGTGACGGAGAACCCGTGGGCACCGCCCAAGTTGTGATCATCGCCGGAAGTGTGTTGTTTGTGACTGCGGTCGCAGCCCTGCTGGCTCGACGATTCGTTCGCCGCGAGGTGCGCCGCGCCACAGAGCGATCGACAAGAGCCGATGGAGACCGCCTTGCGAGGCAGATGAAGCAAGCGTGGGCACCCCCTCCTCCACATCCTGACGGAGAGACCAAGTTCGCCTATGCCTCACTACGCGAACTCGTTCTCGGCCAGCCTGCGGCGGCGGCTTTGGGCATCTGCCACTATTTGCGTGTATCGGAGGCACACGTTGCGGCCGGCTTGGCCGCAGGGGTCGAGTCCATCGTGCGTGAGGTAACGTCCCACGGCTCAGCGGCCGACATCGAGTGCCTCAACTACGTTCTGCACGAATCTTGCGGGTGCGGCTTCATGACCTTCCAAGACGGGCTAAAGCGCGACTGCGACGCCAAGGGAGAGCTCCTGCCCTCCCGCCAGGCCGACGACGGAAATGGAGGGCAGCGGCCGATGGCGATCGACGACTTTGTCGCGCACCCACACGCGCGCCAGTGTCACCTGACCAAGGCGCACGTGGTGGCGCTCCGCCTCTACACGACCGCCGCCTTCGCGTCGATCAACGCGCCGTTGCGCGACCTCGAGCGCTTCGCGAACAAGATGCCGCACCCGATGCCGGTGACAGTGTCGCTCATACGCGACGCGCTGGGCAAGTTGCGAGCGGTGGACGCGCGCACTAGCAAGTCGGCTGGCGACAAGGAGCAGGCACTCGAGCTCTACCGCGGCATGAAGAACGTCACAACTCCGAAGCGCTTCCTCGAGATCGGAGGGACCGAGCTGGCGCCCATGTCGACCACATCCTCCCTCAGCGTGGCAATGCGCTACTCAGCCAGCAAGGACTCGGTGTTGCTGCGCATCCTCACCGACTCGTTCATCTCGCGCGGCCCCGACATTTCCTTCCTCTCCGCCTTTCCTGCGGAGCAGGAGTACCTGTTCCCGCCACTCACGTTCCTGCTGCCGACGGGCAACGTGGAGAAGGTCTCGCTCGGTGGTCAAAACTGGACCGTCATCGATGTCAAGCCGTACTTGTGAGCGCGACAGGCATCGCGACGAAAGCGAATAGCAGGGCGAGGCGAAGCCTACGCCATCGACATACGTACGCGTTGACGCCAAACGACCCACACGCTAGGCTGCATCCCGCGCACATGCGCCCCCCACCATGTGCTGTCGCCTTGTGGACGCCGGGCGCCTAACCCCGCCGTCTGCACACGTTACGTACGTATATGTCTCTGTGGTATATTCCTCTTTGGTATATTGCAAACAAAACAAATCTCTCTCTCTCTTTGGTATATTTCTCTCGGGAATTCACATCGGTGTATTCCTCTTTGGTATAATCCACTTTGGTATTCCTGTTGGGTATTTCTCTTTGTATATTCCTCTTGGGTATATTCCTCTGATTCACGTCGGTATATTCCTCTCGGGTATAGTCCTCTGGGAATGCACTCCGGTACATTCCTCTTGGGTATATTCCTCTGATTCACTTTGGTATATTCCTCTCGGCGTCTCGGGTATAGTCCTCTGGGAATTCACTTCGGTACATTCCTCTTGTGGGTGTATATTTCTATCTGAAGTTCCCCCTTGAGGGGTCGCCGGAGGCGACGCTTCCTCCGGTTCCTAGGGTTCCCCCTTGAGGGGTCGCCGGAGGCGACGCTTCCTCCCTTGCGGCCAGGTGTGAAGGGGTGCAAGCGAGAAGAGAGAAGGGACACAGCACACAAAACTCAACCATCCATTCAGAGCGCCAGAGGTCTGTGAGGTACGTAATGGACGAGGTCTGTTGATCTAACGCGAAGAGAATTTTACGCGAAGAGAATTGTGCAAGTTGTGAACGGAGAGACAACTCTGCTCTCTGAGCCGAAATGTGCGCCAGCTGACACGTGTCACGTCACCTGTGCTCCGACTCATGGTGTGTGTGTGGGTGTGTGTGCCTGTGTGTGTGAGCAAATGAGGTCCCGGCCCGATTATTCGACGAGAGGCACGTACCACAGCGTTCCCGGTTCCGTCTTCGCCTTCGTGCACAGCCACGCCGCGTCGCTGGGCGACCCCAGTAAGCCCCCCCAGTCCCGGTCCCGGTCCGCCGGACCACGTGCAACAGCAGACAGCCTCACGTCACGCGCTGCGCGCCATCTTGGCCGGCCGCTCGCCCTCGACGCCGTCCGCGAAGGAGACGAACGGGCCCGACGGGTCGGCGAACAGACCGGACTCGGCGAAGATGTCCTATGGGAAGAGCGCCGCGCGTCAGTGACGCGGCCCATGCGAGCGCTCCCTACGTGGTGGACCGCAGCCGCGGCCCTCCGAGAGCAGCATCTCGGGTCATCTCGGGCCATCTCGGCTACTCTCGCGGGCCTCCGAGAGCAGCATCGCCGCCGCTTCGCCCTCCTCCTCCCACCGCGCCGCCTCCGCGTCCGCGTCCACGTCCGCGTGGAGCGCCACCGGCTCGACCGGCCGCTCAGCCTTCGCGCTTGCCTGCGGCTCCTCGCCGTCCTCGCCGTCCGCCTCGGGCTCCGACTCGAACCCCTCCTTGCCCCGCTGCAGCCGGTATCGCGCGTAAGCGACGGCCGCGTCGACGGCGCGCGAGAAGGAGCCCAGCTTGACCGGCTTGCCGTTCTCCTGCGACCGCGCCTCGTACAGGCGGCCACTTGCCGATCGCGTGACGCCCGTGTAGCCCGTCGCCCCAATCGCGGAGCGGCCGCAGCGGGAGAGGTGGAGCCGCAGCCCCTCCGCCTCCTGCACCTACGTGACGGTGAACACATACACCAACCCTCGGGGCGGGAAGACGGGATGGTGCAGTGTTGCTTCGGAGCAGCGCGCGGACACGAGGGGTAAGAGTACAGCGGGAGAATGCGGCTGAATGCGGCTGAATGCGGCGGAATGCGGCGGAATGCGGCTGAATGCGGCGGAATGCGGCGGAGTACGTGTCCTCTCGAGCGCGAGTTGGGAGGCTCCCCTACCCACACTGGAGCCGAACCCTGGGGAGATTGCAATCTCGGGCGTGTCACGCTAAGAATGCGTGCTCCGCCTCTAGTGCCCTGCACCAGTTCCTCTTCCCCCTCGTCGCTGGACTGCTCCGACCGCAGCTCCTCCACGGCGGCGTCGAGCTGCCCGCCATGCCGCAGCACGGCCGCCGCCGCGCGACCGACCGAGAGGTAGGGCTGCCGCTGCCGGAGCTCCTGGTAGGCATATGCTACCAGGTCACAGTATGGGTGCATATGCGCTGGATGCGTCACGGACTTGAACGGGGGTGGCTGCGGTGGCGGGTCCACGCGAGGCACAGAGAACTGAGAGTAGAGAGGGGAGAGAGAGGGAGAGGGAGGGGGAGGCAATGGACGAAGTGACAGAAGATATTTA